TTCAGCCTGGAGAAGAGAAGGCTGAGAGGGGATCTCATCAACACCTACAAATATCTCAAGGTCACGAGGATGGAGCCAGACTCTTTGCAGCGGTGCCCAGTGCCAGGACAAGGGGCAATGGGCACAAACTGAAGCAGAAGAGGTTCCAGTTGAATGTGAGGAAAAACTTCTTGACTCTGAGGGTGACGGAGCCCTGGCCCAGGCTGCCCGGGGGGGCTGTGGAGTCTCCTTCTCTGGAGATATTCAAAGCCCCCCTGTGTAACACGCTCTAGGAGAACCCACTTTAGCAGGGGGGTTGGACTGGGTGATCTCCCGAGGTCCCTTCCAACTTTTGCGATTCTGGGATTCTGTGATACACAGAGGACAATGAAACCAGTACTGGGGAGACCCTACTGAAGGCCAAGCAATGAAATACAAAGCACTGCCCTCTGCAATGAGTGCCAGGAGGCAATTAAACGAGTGGGTCGGGGATGTGGCACATCTGCTTAACGCCTCGGTTTCACCCAGGACTGGGCATAACGATAAAGCAACGACCTCGGTGCACGGTTTCTCCTGTTAAATGACAACGTCTCGCATTTAGTGCAGGGGACCCTCCTCTGGGCTCCGGACAGCACCGTATGGGCTACATTGGCATCCTGCTGCACGCCACGACTCCTAGCACGATACAGCGCTCTCAGAGGCTCGCCAAAGGCTTTTTTCATTAAGAACAACATCAAAGATGTCCTGCTCCGTGGCTGGCACTGCTGGTGTAAACTGTTCCCGTTTGGTTTACATTTAACAGCAGGACTGGGCAGGGTATTAAAATCAGAATGTGGAGCAAACAGGAAAATGTTCAGTAAAGGTCTGAGCTTCAGGGACCGTCAGTTAGCAAAAGGAGGGTGTTAGTTAGGGTGAAGTTCTGTGCCTAGGAGGAAAAATAAGTGCGAGTAAGGCGTAGGCATGTGGCACCACTGTTTTCCCACTCGAGTAGCTGCAAGAAGGCAGAGGAGGGGATCTGAAAGGTGCTCCTGAGGGCAGAGGGTGCACAGGATGATATTTTTTTCCAAAACTGTTCTGCCTCTAATGCCTTTTCATAGCACAAAGTTGGGGGGATTTCCCTTGCCTGGCCCGGTGGAGGGTCTCGCTCCGAAGGTGGCACTGGCGGCCAAGTGGCAGATTCACCTCTGGCTGGAGGCTGAAACAGGAGCTGGGAGAGGAAGGGACAAAGCAAGACCAGGAGCACAAGGACGTGGGAAATCCAGAGGCTGAGCCGAGGCTGGACAGCAGGATGCCTGTGCCCTGTGGTGGCGGCAGGAGGAAGGATGGCCGAGGAGGCTCAGGGCAGGTTTGGCAGAGCTCGCAGCCAGGAGCCTCTGTCCCCATGTGCCTGGGTGTCCCTGAGCAGCCAGGCCAGGGCTGAGCCTCACAGCATCCTGACCTGCGGCAGCAGCGGTGCTGTGCGGGTTACACCGGTGTGACACAGGGCTTGGCAGCCTGACAGAGCACCTCTCTGCTTTCAAGTCCTTCTACTCCGAGGTTCTTTGGCAAGTGTGTGCTAACAGTTTGCCATCTTAAATGTGCTAAACTCCAAAAATACAGGTGAAGATTGCCCCAGAAACAGAGCCACTGCAAGCTGTGGGTGCTGCTGCCGTTAGGGCAGCACCTTGGGCACTTGGGATCGCTGCGGATGCTGCCGTCTGTCCTCCAGGCACAGGAACTGGAGGGCTCGCAGCAGCAGAGCTCGGAGGGGTTGCGCATTTCCCTGCCCTTGGCAGGGGACAGCATTTCCTGAGACTGCAGACCAGTATCAACCTCTGCCTGCCTGGGCCACGGTGGTGACAGAATCCGCTGACATCCTCCCTTGCCTGCTTCTGCAGGGGGGGAGGTACCTGGGGAGGTCGGGTTCCAACGCTCCCCCCCCCGTTAGCAGCACCCCTGAGCCTTTTCTTCACTCAGATGCCCCTGTGCTCTCCATAGAGCTGACTGCATCTCGCCTTTTCACCCTGATGTCAGAAATGCTGAATTGTGAAATATCCAGAACTTGCCAAGGGTTGGGCAACGTTTCCAGGCGTTGGTGGGCATCGTTTTACCTCTGAGACTGGAAGTAGGATGGAGAAAGGGCCCGGGCAGCTGTGCCGGCGTGGTTAACGGCACGGGCTGCGGCGTTTCAGCTCCTTTGGAGGGAAAATCCTGCACAGAAACTTCTGCCTCTAGGTGTGGTAAATTCCCACTCTGTGCTTTCCCATGATATCTGCTACGCTGGCAGCTAATTTAGTCGGCTCTAGAACAGACGCTCCTTGGGGACCTTTTGGCAAAGCTATGGCAGCCTGGAAAAGCCTCCGTAGAGTCTGGTAGCAGCAAATGGCTTTCCTTAGAATCATGGAATTATTTAGGTTGGAAAAGCCCTTTAAGATCATCAAGCCCAACCGCTCCCCTACCCCTGCCATCCCACCACTAAACCCTGGCCCTCAGCGCCGCTTCTGCCCGGCTGTTAAATCCCCCCAGGGATGGGGACTTGAGCCCTTCTCTGGGCAGCCCCTTCCAGTGCTTGAAGTCTCCTTGTCCCTACTTGCTTCGTTTCTCCATGAAAAAGGTCTGCCATTGCCATTAGGCTCTCTTCTCATTGCCCTTTCGTATTTTTCAGCCTACAAGGAGAAAATGAAGGAGCTGTCTCTGCTCTCCCTCATCTGCTCCTGTTTCCACACCCAGCCCCATCCTAATACCATCTACCAGTATGGAGGTAGGTAACCAGCTCCCGCCGGAGCTCCAGCATGGTTTGCACGATGCTTCTACAGGCAACGCGGGAGCTCGTCAGCGCACGGGAGCTCGTCAGCGCGCTGGGCTGGCCCGGCCTGGAGCAGCAACCCGTGTCTCAGCCCCGGGTCTTTCTGTTTAGTCTCCTTTCACAGTTTATTTTATGAACATAACCCACATTTCCCGAGGAAGAAGGTGCTTGCAGAGATTGTCTGCTGGGCACTGGGCTGCCATACGAAGTGTTAACAGCAATATGGCTGCTCTGTCATTGCGCTGTGAATTTAGGGTCATTGCATTGACTTGGGGGGGTGGTGAAGCTGGTCACTGATCAGGAAATTTTAGAGATAGAACAAAATGACCCAGGTCAGGACATGGGAAAGGCTGAGGGAGCTGGGCTTGTTCAGCCTGGAGAAGAGAAGGCTGAGAGGGGATCTCCTCAATACATACAAATATCTCAAGGGTGGGGGTCACGAGGACAGAGCCAGACTCTTCTCAGTTGGTGCCCAGCGCCAGCACAAGGGGCAATGGGCACACACTGAAACATAAGAGGTTTCACTTGAATGTGAGGAAAAACTTCTTTACTCTGAGGGTGACGGAGCCCTGGCCCAGGCTGCCCGGGGGGGCTGTGGAGTCTCCTTCTCTGGAGATATTCAACCACCACCTGGATGAAATCCTGTGTAACATGCTCTAGGAGAACCTGCTTTAGCAGGGGGGTCAGACTGGCTGATCTCCCGAGGTCCCTTCCAACCCCTGCCATTCTGGGATTCTGTAATTCATCTGTGGAGAGCTTGGAGCCCTCGGGTGAACGCTCTCCTGCGTGTCGCAGCTCCACAGAGCCTCTGTTTTGTTTTGTTTTTTCCTCCAAAGATATGGAGGTGAAGCAGCTGGATAAGAGGGCATCAGGCCAGAGCTTCGAAGTGATCCTGAAGTCCCCTTCAGATTTATCTCCCGAGAGCCCGATCCTTTCCTCCCCCCCCAAGAAGAAGGACCTGTCCCTGGAGGAGCTGCAGAGGAGGCTGGAGGCTGCAGAAGAGAGGAGGAAGGTAAGGAGAGCTCCTGGAGAAGCGGGGACTCTTCTGTGACGAGTACTGATTGCACCAAACCCTAAAACTGGCCTAGCAGGAGCAATCTAAAACAGCTGGAAAGTTCGTACACTTCTTATTGTACTGCACTATAAAGTGTCAGGGGAGACGTGGGAGTCGTGGAGCGAGGTTCTGCAGCCTGATTTAGGCAGGGAATTGGCCTCGATGATCATCATCGACCTCCTGTTCTTAAAACCAGGCGGTATGGGGTCCTCTGGGTCCCCTGCCTGGGGGGAGGGGGCACAGGGGGGGACAGTTCTTGCCAGCCCGTGCTGCAGGAGACACGGCAGTCGGTCACACGCCCAACTCGAACTCCGAACCTAAACGCAGCCTCGTGTTTCTAACGGCCGGCTGTGCCGCCTGCTATTGCTCGTGCTGCATCAAATGTCTGCTGGTGGGAACTATGGAAAAGGAGAAACGCGGCAGAGTAAAACGAAGGATCAATGTTAGGAATGTTGGGGGGCAAGGGGAGAGCAAGCGGAGATGATTCAGGGAATGAGGCGGCGGTCGGAGAGGGGGCTCGGCGCCCGCCCGATGTCGCCTCGGTTTTGCTGAGCCGCTGGGCGTGGTGTCGCGTCACCCACCCGCCTGGAGCACCGGACCCCCCCGGCATTGCCCCGCAGCAGGAAAAAGGTGTCAAAGCGTCTTCCAAGCAAGAGCGTTATGGGATGGAGGGGGTGGCCGAGGGGGGTTGAGCAGAGGAGACGGTCAGAAAGCCTCCCTGGGGAGCTGAAGGCTGGAAGAGCCCCTTCAGTTGCCTTACACCCCTCCCGACGCCTTGCCTCGGCAGACCCAGGAGGCGCAGGTGCTGAAGCAGCTGGCGGAGAAGCGGGAACACGAGCGGGAGGTGCTGCACAAGGCGCTGGAGGAGAACAACAACTTCAGCCGCCTGGCCGAGGAGAAGCTCAACTACAAGATGGAGCTGAGCAGGGAGATCCGCGAAGCACATCTCGCCGCCTTGAGGGAGCGGCTCCGCGAGAAGGCGAGTGCGGTGCCCCGGGAGGG